AACGACACAGATCAGATTTTTTCAAATGCGACCCAGGCCACTTCGAAATGTGGTCCTAAAACCGATACATGTAAGATCTTTTGACATGCAACTTCAGTCTGAACAGTCAAAGCGCATTATCAACAAGACACAAACGTCACTATTCTGCGCTGAAGTAGGCGAAATTGTTAATGAACTCCGTGTCACTGAAGCGAAGCACATCACCACTCACCACTCTTGGCTACGTCTGCGCATCCACACGTTCTTTTCAACGGACGTCGCTGCCGCTGTCCCACAAAACACCACGGCCAAAAACCTCGTCCTTCTCCTTCTCAATTTCCTCCTTAAAACAAATAAGTCGTTCATGTTCTGGCTCCGGTACGAGAGGAATTTTAAAATCTCCAGGTGCTCAATGCTCGCCTCCATGTTTGGACAACTTCCATAAACACAGAGAGCACGCTCGCTGCAGTTGACGTCGTCGTGTCTCCAGTGCTCATGCGGGACAGTTTCGGGCCGTTTACCGTTCACACTGGAGATCACATACAAGTCGCATTTAATTGGAAATGTGAACGACCTCGCAAAAACATCGGATTTCACAAAAAAATCGGAATTGAGCATTAAGCCCTGCAGTCTGAACGTAGGCTTAGAGTCCCGGAAAGCTTTGGCAGGTTGTGAAGAATGCCGCCGCAGAATCCACGGTTTTATCACATCCCCAGTACAATTTTTAGGTATCCGTACTTTACTTACACTGGATACTTTTTACCTTTACTACATTTGAGAGCATGTGTCTGTACTTTCTACTCTACTACATTTTGGATCTGGACTGAAAAGTAAAAAGTACTTTTCTTTCTGGTTTGAGACCTGCTGAGACTTGTTTTTGACACATTTGATTTGTGTTTCCGTCCCAATTTTGAGCAACGCAAAACAAAAATGCCCAAAAAAATTATAATTTAATCACTTAAAATCATCTAAATTATTTATCTAAAGCAATACTTTTCACTACAGAATCTTTCCAAATTACTTTTTATGCTTTAAGTACAATTTTTTAACAGGTACTTTAATACTTTTACTTAAGTAGATTTTTTCATGTGATATTTTTACTTTTACTTGAGTTAGAGCTGCTTGATTATGGAAAAAACATCACGATTATTTTGGTCAGTATTGTTATTCAAATTATTATTTTTTTAGTTACACGATGCATTTATTCAGCACTTCTCTCTTTCAAAAGAAAAAAAACAAAACACGTTGTTATTGATAATTTATGCAAAACTTTCATTGAAAGTAAATGTATTATTTATTTATTTATTTGTTTTATTTATTATTAATTCTTGCATTTTGACGGAGCAGCTCTGAATTTCATTATACTGTATAATGATAATAAAGGCTTTCTATTCTATTCTATTTTAAATACTATATAAAGCTGTACCTTAGAGCAATTTTGCAATGTAAAAAATATAAAATGAATAAAATATACTTTGAACATGAAATAAAGCATAGAAAAACATCAGTTATTCAAATAAGCTATATATCCAACTGTTCTACAATCTCTATATTTAAAAAATCTAATCGAAATATTTATTTATATTTTTAAAAATCCCAAAATAAACTGTTTAAGCCAGGCATGTCCAAACTATGGCCCAGGGACCAAATGCGGCCCTCATACCAATTTTTCTTAGCTCTCAGACGTCTAGGTAAATTGGCCCAAATTACCGTGCATCAATTAAAAATGAAATTTGACTGCAAGTTTTTTCGAAAATCTACCTTGATAAAGCTCATAGTTAATATTTAGTTTGTGGTTTTAGGGATCTGAGCATGAATAAAGACTGATGGCTCATTCTAACGTGTTTAAACATGCACATATTTCAATTATTCCTGTACTGAGCCCCAGTCTACAGCCCTTGATCAGCCCTCTGCTTCATCTGTGTTTAGATATGTGGCCCTTGATGAAAAAAGTTTGGACATCCCTGATTTAAGCTTTAAATCGTTTCAACTCGATTATATGAGTTTGGAGATCGTTTGACACACAAATCAAAATCGCGATCAAAATTCGATTAATTGCACAGACTTAACTTGAATAACTTCTTGCCCTTGTATCTGTACTTTTAAGTAACAAATTGACTTCATCCGCCACTGGTTTTGGCAGATACTTAAATCCATAGTATCGGAATCTGTATCGAATTGAAAAAGCTGGATTTATCCATCTCTAGCCACCCGCAAATGCTGAATACTGAAATACTGACCCCCAAAAATGATGAACCTAACATACTTGAACATTCACACAGACACTGGCTCCGTCTTTTCTGCATCACTCAAGGAAAAACTAAAACTAAAACACAACACTACCCACATCAGTCCAGCTTTCCCACAATCAGGGAATAATTTAGCTCCATAAAAAGCTTCTGTATAAAAGAGGTAGTAGTTATCGTGACAGACCTGCTCACCCATATGGAAAAGGTAGAGAAAATCATGCACCATTTTAACATGTTTTATCTGAATCCTAAAAGATTTGTATATGACAGTGAAAACACTTACAAGATCTTTGGTAAATATGTGCAGCATGAAACATATAAAACTTTGTAACCTGCAAGGGCTGAATATGACACTGATCCCACATACAGTATCCTCACAAGTGTTGGACAAAGGTCATTTTTACCACAGAATCACAGAAAAACAAGTGAAATGATGATTGTTTCCTTAAACTTGATTGCTGTGTTGTGTGTGTATGAGAGTGAGAAAGAAAATTATCACAGTGTCTGTTTGTGTGTGTGTGTGTGTGTGTGTGTGTGTGTATGTGTGTGCGTGTGTGTGTCTGTGTGTGTGTGTTTGTGTGTGTGTTTGTGTGTGGGGGTGCGGCGTGTGTGTGTTGGGCAGCATGGGGGTAAACACAGTAATGCAAATATTGCATTACAACCTTAAAAAAACATATTCCACTGAAATCACTAGAGCCCGACCGATATGGATTTTGTTGTGGCCGATATGAAACCGATATAATGGGAGTTGGAGCTGCCGATAACCGATATAATCGCCGATATATTTAGTGATGTAAAAATTCACATTCTTGAATTGTTTAAAAAACTTAGGTTTGGCTCTAGTGGATTCTAAATTGGGTTTATTTAGGCAACATTTATTGTTATTCTGACTCTTTACGTCATATTTACAGACAGTAGATTGGCCTAATGGCATTTTTGCATCACATTCTAGCTACTACTGATGGATATTCCAGTTTTTTTTTTTGGAGAACCGGCTCTTTTGGCTTGGCTCGCTAAAGCAGCTGGCTCTTTCGGCTCCCAAGTGACTCTTGAGATTGTTTTGCTGCAAGCAGGACTAAACCAAAACTGAACCAGGACTGAAAAAGTAGTAAACCAGGACTAAAACAGATTTAAAGCATGTGTAAAACAGGACTAAACCAGAACTGAACCAGGACTGAGTGTCGGGACTCGGTCTCTCACTCACTCGAGCCCAAGATTAGTCCTGGTTTATTAATTTTATGCTGAACTGCAGCCAAATATGCACTTTTTTTTTTATCCTATGCACACGCAGATTTCTGAAAGTTTCGTTTTCAGCTGCTGCTGCTGTCAACTACGGGTCTACGTGCGGATTGAAGAGAAAAAGTGAGAAAAAGAGAAAACACGGCTCCCAATAAGAAACATGCTCCCGTTGTTCGTTTCAAATACCCGGATCTAAGAGCCGCTTCTATCGCGACCGACCCATAACTCCTAAATAGTAAATAAACTACCACTATTAGCCTTTAGCCGTAAAAACGTGCGCGCCGCAGTAATTAATTATATGCATAAATGTGGATCATTCACACGTCTATTCACAGCTCATTTACATATCAATACTGGTCCAGTAACAAATATACGGCCAATATAGTCACTTTACAATAGACCAATAGAAAACAGCCTGTTTATGTGCGGGAGCTACAGCAGCTAATCGCTAATAACAAATAGCGAAACTAGCTTCAAAGTCGGTGTATTTCCAACACTCACCGCTCACACAGGCTCCTCCTCACATCACAAGTCTGCACTAATAAATGTCCTTTTAATCCAGACTCAAACCGACTGTAAAAAGAAATAATCTCAGTGTTGCGCACCACTGCGGGTGGAAACAATAGTGACGTGACTCTGGGGGTGTGTTCAGGGACAGTACGGACACAGACACAGACAAATTACACCGCAGATAAATACTGATGTGGAGCCACATATTAGGACATTTATCTGACTTTAAATTGGATTAAATGAACATAATGTAGAGAGTTTAAGCATTATAACGAGGTATAACATGCCCAGGTGAAATATCGGCCCATATCAGCAAGCATATCGGCCGATAGCCGACATGTCTCCAGGTGCCCATATCGGCCAATAATATCGGCCAGCCGATATATCGGTCGGGCTCTAGATATCACAGTGAACATACATGTGCTGTAAAAATATTTTTACTCTGCAAAATCCTAATTATTACAAAGGTCTATATTGACTTGTAATATTGCAAAAAGCAGCTATACACTTATGTTTTTTTCACATGCCTCAACTAACAAGAGGTCATATCAGTTACAAATACCAAGGTACTTGTACCTTGGTACTTGTCCTCAAAATTGTCCTCGATATCTGCTATTGTTCCCATTTTAATCAGCAGTTAGTTTGCTCAATTGGTAAGTCACTGGACTTCAACATGGTAGACCAGGATTTGAATCCCCCTTCAGACTCTGATTGTTTATTCTGCAACATATAATTAAAGAATACAAACATTACATGGAACATACAAAGAAAATGTAGTTTATCATGCACATTACCTGTAAATGTCATGCAAAATGTTCACTTTATCTTTACTAGTTTTTCATAATATAGTTGTATGAGAAAAATGTAAAAGCGGCCACTTTCAGGAGTAAACCATACATGGCACATATTAACCTTATATAAAGATTTACTACAAAGACAGTGGTAAATTCTTTTTTTTTTTTTTCCAGTTTTTTTCCATATGGGCAGATATCAAACGTGATTGCTCTGCCTGTGTTTGTGCAGGGAAGAGGTGGAGCACAGCCAGCGCGTATCTCCGGCCGGTACTGGGGCGTCCTAACCTGAAGGCCGAGGTGCGCTGTTTCACCACCAAGATCTTGTTTGACGGGAGGCGCGCTGTGGGAGTGGAGTACACCCAGAGAGGACACAAGCAGAGGGTGAGCTCTGAGCAAACATGATAACAGACCAAGGACTTCACAAGAAAGACAAATAACACACGACTACTGAACCGAACTCTGCTTAAAGTGGGTTAGTTACCGTCATTTCCGGACTATTTTTCCAGTTATTTATTGCAATTCAAGTCGTGCCAGTCCAGTGAAGAGCTTGAAATGGTACAAAGGTAAGAACTGAACAGACAGAGGTTAAAAAAAGATAAAAGATAAGAAACGGACCCTCCGCCAAAACTCCCCTGCACAACATGCGGATCGGGACAACCCTACCTGGAATGTATATATTCTGAACCTGTCTCTAAGCCGCAGGTGTCCACGTCTTCAAGAAAGTTTTCAAGTTAGGACCGTCTGCTTTTATTGCCTCTGAAAGCTTTTTTGTCTTTTTTGCGTTGAGTCAGTGCATCACACTGCTCACCATTGACTCACTGATGCCGAGCTCACGTGCAGCAGCTCTGTTTCCTTCTTTCACAGCCACATCAATCGCCGTTAACTTAAAAGCTGCATCATCTGTATTTCTTCGTGTGTTTTCCATGAGGAGGGTGTGTGCATGAAGCGCAAAATAACTGTTCAAAACACAATCAAACGAGCATCTTCCTCGGCGCATCACCCCCGTCTCTTCCCGCACATGTCTCCTGCAGAAAGAGTCTCTGTCCTGTCTGTATTGTGTCAGTGTCTTGTAGGATTTCAGCAGATTTCAGACTTTCCTGAGGGCGGGAATAGGTGTATGGATCAGGTATGAGTGGATGTCCGGCTAATGAAGTTTGAGACATTCTTCTCGTCATTTACGGTAGGTAAGCTTTCGGCTTGTCCAAGAAAGGGTGGAAGTAAAACGGTGGAGACCAACTGGACGTCTTAAGCAGGAGAAGTTTATTTACCATCAATAATACAGGCCAGGGGGATGTGAAAAGTGAACATAGTGTGATTTCAAAAGTGAACATAGTGTGATCTTTGAGTGTACAGACCCCTTGACTCTGCTTCCAAAGAAAAAAGTTTATAAAGCAGGTGTGGTGAGACTATAAAGGCCAGTAGACACCAGTCAGCAATATGACACAATTTAGATAATGGTGTGCCAATGGTGTGCCAAGGTAAGAGCATGGTGTAACTATAGTTCTTGGGAGTCAATGTTAAACTCACTAATGTTTATTTAGCATCATAACTTATTTTATCGCACGGCAATAAACTGCTTTAGTGCTGACAGCAGCTCTAGCGTTGTAACTTAATGTGAACCGCACACAGACAAGTCAAGGCAAGTTTATTTGTATAGCACAGTTTGTACACAAAGTAATTCAAAGTGCTTTACAGAATAAGAAAAACATTAAAATCACAATAAAAACAAATCAAAACATAAATATTCATCATAAAATTATAGATTAACATTAAAAAAGAGAGAGACATAATTTAGAGAGACCGTGGCGCTTCCTGCATTCTGCCAAAGCAATAATCCGTGCATATTAGGAGTGTGCAAAAATATCTAAATATCAATATCGTATTGCTTAATGTGATGATACAGTTTTGATATTGTGGGCTGCTGTACCGATATATCAGCAAGAGGACTTTTTGGTATATTTTACTGTATTTGTTACAGCACTACAGTTTTTTTGCTTGTTTAAAGGATGGAAAGTTGTTTATGCGACACATTTTCGCTGTTCTGATGATTAAAATGTTTGTGTTTCATATGAACTTTGCACAAGAAGTGGTTTAAAGACTTTTCGTATCGCAGCTACAATTTAGCCTTTATTTTTTATGGAACCGTATCGAATCGATTTGAAATATATCTTATCAAATCGAAAGTGCACATCTTTCACATCTCCACAAGTGCAGATGTGTATCGTATCGTGGTCTATTTATTGAGGTATGTATCGTATCGGCAATCCTCTGATCTCACCTCATTTTCACCAGCAGTGGTCCACGCCCACTGTCTGGCACACTTTGTTCTCCAGTTTTATTTCAGTGACATGTATTTTGTCACGTAGTCGTTTTGTCTTAAATGGAAACATCTGCAGTGTTTGTTAGTGTGAGCTGCAGTGGCCACAGTAGGTGCCCACAGCATGTTGTTGTTGTTTATGTTTAAGGTGATGTACCTTAAAGGGGGTCCTAATACGTCATTGAGATCCACAGTTTTCCAACTCGAACTTCAGGCATTTTAGATTAATATTCTGACTTAAAATAAAACTTAATGATCCACAGATGTCCTGGATTCTAACTACAACAGTAACTACAGCAGACGCGCTTCTCTGTCTTTTCTTTGGCTTTGTTTGGACTCTACTGTGACATTCCTGTTTGCGGAGGGTTCCGGATTTGTTTGGATGACTTATTGATTTACTTCATGGCTGAGCCTTTCATGACGAATATTTTCTGGGAATTGGAAATCACTGAGTAGGTTCTGAGCTTATATTTAAACTGTTAGTCACTGAGACTAAACTCTAACAGTGTTGATGTACACGCATCTTTTGCCATGTAAACCAGAGGAGAAAACGTGGAATCAAGCCCTTCATATTGACTATGAGGAGAACATTACAGAGCCATTATCTGACTGCACATCTTTTTGGAAATATCCAGTTAATAATGTAGAATTAGCTAAGTCACTGGCTTCAGGAGAAAACCAAAACCAGATGGTGAAATAAAACTTGGTTAAAGCTGCACTATGTAACTTTTCTGGTGTTTGTTTCCATGCAGACAAGCACATAGTCTGGAAGATTTTTCAGTATGGCTTTAAAGTGTATATGTAGCATTTGGCCTAGTCATGTCCCTTAATTCAAGCTCCCGAGTGAATCAAAACAAACCGATGTGCAGTACGTCATCTTATTTTAGCAGAAATACAGACTTTTGTTTGGATGGCCCCACAGGCTGTGCCCGGCCCCTGCCACCAGGCGCTCACCGTCAAGCACCCACCCCATGTGTCAGATTGTCAAAGATCCCAAGAGCAGACACAGGTCAACAGGGAATCGATAAGTATTTATTACAGAAAAACTTCCAGAAATTTCATGGACCAGAGCAGGACGAAGCAGGACAGGGCAGGTTGGAGTAAGCGACTGGACTAGGAGACTGGAGCAGGTCAGAGCAGGAGACTGGAGCACGGAGATCTGAGGCACATGGGCAACAGGTAAGTGATTCAAGTTAGAGGTAGGTATATCAAATGTAGCTGGAACGTAGCACTAACTGAAGGAGTATTACGATCTGGCAGCACTGATCTGGCTTGAGTTACTTTTCAGCTGAGGATGGCCCCAGTTCATCTGTCTTCACTCCTGAAACACAAAAGGGAAACGGAAGGAGGTGACCATTCAGGGGGTGGCAGATGAGGTCAGAGGTGCTTGAGGGACTGTGACACCAGGCCCGGCACCAGGGTGGGGCCCGGTGACGCCAATCCAGGCGATGTAACTGGCCTTGATGTAATAGTAATACTTATCCCAGGAGCTTCTAAACCACTCTTTGTCTGACCTGTTATTGTGATCCGTATTGTGATCGGTTTAAGCAGAGTTTTTTTGTATTGATTTCTGCTCAGATGAGTCTAGTTTCGATAGTTTTGGCATTGATAAGTATCTGATTTTTGATACTTTGACAACCCGGATTGTGATGATTCCTCCTTTGCTTGTTGTGCAGGTGTTTGCGGAGAAGGAGGTGATTCTGAGCGGAGGGGCCATAAACTCTCCTCAGCTCTTGATGCTGTCTGGAGTTGGAAACGCAGACGACCTGACCCAACACGGCATCTCTGTGGTCCAACATTTACCTGGTACGTCTTTGTGGGAGTCCATAGATGGTGCCACATAATGGATATTCATCTTTAAAGGTGCATTGTATAACTTTTCCGGTGGAGGATTCATCAGAAGTTTTTCTTCATGGAAATATTATTGTTTCGTTTTGAATGTTTCACAGTATGGCATTACACCTTTCTATCTTCAGGGAGATCAAACCAGACCAAGTTGCAGGTCAGATCTGTGGAGAGGCGACCCCGGTCACAGTCAGAATGCCTGTTTCTTCAGATATTTTTGAACAATAAAACCACCTGTAATTGAATAAATGTAAAGCAGATCTGTTTAATGTCATACTGTGGAACATTCCAGCCAGAACAATGACATATCCATAGAAACCCCCAACTAGAGAGTTACATAATGCACCTAAAACGTTACACAAAATCAACTCTTTCTACCCACATTAGAATGTTGTTAAAACACCATCAAAAACAGACCTGGAGTTGTGTTTTGTTTCATTCACACATGTCTGAGTGATTCTTTATTTTCAGTTTGTCTACAGCTCCAAAGCTCAAAATGCTCTGTTCCACCTTGTGATGTCATGAAGTGGTAGTTTTCAAGTTAACAGCTCCTTTTACCTAGCCAGTCTGGCGCCACCTAGTGCCTCCGCTCAATTTCATTTCTCTCTAGCAACTACTGTATTTTCTGGGCTATAGGGCATCAAAAAACGACTGTGTGCCCCTCAATCCAGAGCGCCCTATACACGAATCCACTCAGGTGTCCCAGCAGAACACACAAACACACACGAAGCAGACAGCGACCGCACAGAGAAAACACCCACAGATACACTTATCACTCCACACAGACGAGGAACGGAAACCGAAAAAGTGAGCGCAGTGTGCCACTTCTAGACACAACTGAACAACTGAGTCACTGCAAACACGCCACGCCACTCCCTACACGCCACAACTGAACAAAGCCCAGAGTCACTGTGAAAGCGCCAAACAAAGTTCCACCGACCCATCCAAGTGCTGTGTTTCATTTAAAGTCCGGTGCGGTTTATTTGTGAAAAAAGTTCAAAAATAGACCATTTAATGACAGTGCGTCTTATAATCCAGAGCGCCTAATAGTGCGGAAAATACAGTAGGTCAGGAATCAAAATACACTAGACGGTTCGCAAAAACCCTGGAAGTGCGAGTTTGGGCACCAGCCAATCAGTGAAGAGTCATACATTCAGTGTTGGCAACGATTCCCGAGATCGATGATTTAAAGCTGGAATAAAGAAAGAGAATGTTTGGTAAATTTCATCAAGGTTAAAGACGTTCTTGCCCTTCTTCCTACGGGATATGGGAAAAGCTTAATATACCAGTTAGACCCCTTAGCGGTGCATTACATACGTCACGACCAAATAGCAGCGACTGGTTAAATGACAAAAAATACCCGCCTACAGTCGAGCGAACGAATTCCAACGCTGCGAGGTAGGACGGTTTCTACGAAGTGGAACTGGCTGCTGAATCAGGCTACCTTTTACCTAGAAAGACTGGCAATTCCAGATCTGTAAACAACAAAACGAGTGTATTGAAGGTGTATGGAGTTTTTTCAGTTTAAGAGAAGAGCTCAGCCTAAATTTGCAGAGTTTGTGCGTTAAACAAATATTTGTGAATCAAACAAAACACAACTCCAGAGATGTTTTTGCTGAGGAAAGAACATTATAACATCAGAAAATAGTGAAATGTGGGCCCTTTTAAATGAAGAAAGCTAAACCGGCTTTATTTGGAATATCAAATAAAATAAAATAAATAAATAAATAATCTCTACCAGTGCAGAGATTGAACCTAGATATAAATTTTCCATGTTTACATTATTTGTGTATATGCCAGGTTAGTCTCATTTCACTAAAACATAATTCATAGTTAACATAGTAAGATTTAAGATTTTTAAAAACAAGTTTGCTTCGGTTTTTTTTTCTTTTCTTTTCTGTTTTTGTAACATTTTGTGACTTTTTTACAGGTATCAACTGTTATCAAGCAACCATAATATTTACTAAGGCCAAATGAAATTTCACAATAATTTAGCCTAAAAACTGATTATAGCATGTTTATTTTGTTAAGTCAAGGTTTAATCAGTCAGAAAAATGCTTCCTTGTGCGTAAATAGTCTCGGGCTATGTCATCACCATGGAAAATTCCACCAAAATGCAGAGAAATTCCGTTTCATAACTACGCCTGCTGAGTTTTTCCTACAAACAGCCTCTTAACTGATGCAAAACTGTTATAATTATTGACCCTAGGTATTTCACTGGACCAAGGCAGAATTTGACAAACACAAAAACCTCTTTGGGAAAGGTTAATTCTGTCTTCAGTTTTAAAGGCCATTTATTATTAAGCTATTTTCTGATCTATTTTCTAATGTTTCTAATGTTTCCTCAGCAAAAACACACCTGGAGTTGTGTTTTGATTCATTCACACGTTTAACACACAAACTCTGCAGATTTTTAGACAGTTCTTCTCTCAAACTCAAAATACTCTACCTTGTGTCATGTTGAAATACAGGATGTGCTTAATTGTTTTTTTAAACTTCACACACTAGAATCGGACTAAGGCTTTACAGTTAATTGAATTTTGATTGCGATTTCAATTTGGGTCAAACGAAGTATATTATAATTTGGGTCAATTCAAAAGTATATATACAAAGTACTCTAAGGTACAAACTGCTCTAAGGTACATATTTATAGCCTATATTATTTTCAGTTTTAAAGTTTTGTGTAAATTATCAATAACAAACTTTTTTTTTGAGAGAGAAATGCTGAACAAATGCATCGTGCAACTAAAAATAATCGTTTGAATAATCATGTTTTCATCCATCCATTTTCTTCCTCTTATCTGGGGCCGGGTTGCGGGGACAGCAGTCTAAGCAGGGACTCCCAGACTTCCTTCACTCCAGACACTTCCTCCAGCTCCTTCAGAGTAACCCCGAGGTGTTCCCAGTCCAGCCAAGAGACATAGTCCCTCTAGCGTGTCCTGGGTCTTCCCCAGGGCCTCCTCCTGGTGGGACATGCCCAGAACATCTCCCGAGGGAGGCGTCCAGGAGGCATCTGGAACAGATGCCCGACCCACCTCAACTGGCTCCTCTCAATGTGGAGGAGCAGCGGCTCTAGTCCGAGCTCCTCCCATGTGATTGAGCTCCTCTCCCTATCTCTTAGGGAGCGCCCAATCACCCTGCGGAGGAAACTCATTTCGAGCACTTGTATCCGCGATCTTGCCCTTTCGGTCATTACCCAGAGCTCATGACCATAGGTGAGGGGAGGAATGAAGACTGACCGGTAAATTGAGAGCTTCGCCTTTCGGCTCAACTTCCTCTTCACCACAACGGTCCGATACAGCGACCGCATCACTGCCAACTCTGCAACGATCTGCCTGTCAATCTCACACTCCATCCTCACCTCACTCGTGAACAAGACCCCGAAATACTTGAACTCCTCCACTTGAGGCATGAGATGTTTTCAATATTGACCAAAATAATCATGATAATGATTTTTTCCATAATCTAGCAGTCCTAATTTGGACAATTTCAGATGTGGGATTGCCAATCTCCACTGAACTAAATGTAAAAAGTAGCTGTTAACTTGAAACCTCCTGCTTCATGACATCACAAGGTGGAACTGAGCATTTGGAGCTTTGGAGATGTAGACAGACTAATAATGAAGGATCACTCAAACGTGTGAATGAAACAAAACATAACTCTGGGATGTTTTTAATGAGGAAATAACATTATAACATGGTTTAAAACTCACAAAAGTCGATTTTGTGTAATGTAGACCTTTAAACAGTAAGGCTTCTCTTTTTCTTCAGCTTTATATGTCTCAGTTCCTTCCTGTGGTCTTCCTCTTGTAGGCTGCGTACATGATGTGAGATAAAACAGGAAACTTACACCCCTTACTGTCTGACACCTACTCTACCCAAGTGTACGCTACCTCACCCTGATCACAGACTATATATATAAGTAGACATAGCTTGCTCGCAAACCGCCAACTTGCTGATATTGATAGAAAAACCCACAGACTATAAATGGAAACGGACTGAGGAAGTATTATGTCACCCACAGCGTTCAGCTCGAGGCAAATGAACTCATGAGGTTAGCATTTATAGAAGTTTAATTTGGAGCCCAGTTCCATATTAGGAATGCAGAGTGATTCTCGGACAAGACAGTGAAATAAAAAAAACAGGGTCATGTACGAACAAACATTTTAAGACCAAAGTAGGAGTCTGACAGCGGCAGTTACAGAGAGAGGGGTGACATTTTTTCAATACAAAGTGAACTGGAGCTGGATGTCTGTGTTTTAGAATATATTGACATTTTCTGACATTTTCTGTGAGCCCGCCACCTGCTTTTCTCCATTGAGATGTTGCAGAAGTCACCAAACTTTTTTCTCTGGGGGCCACATTATTGTTATTGACTGTGATGGGGGTCGGGGTCAGGTCGGCTGTAGAAAAGAATTGTACAACCCTGACGACGCAGATAATATTCTTTGAAAATCGCCACACTTTCTTTACATATCAGACACACTGCACGCACAGTCCTTATACTGAACAAAAAAATATCGGTCGTCCACTGTTGTTTGAAAACTTGGAACTCTGTCAACTTTTCGTACTTTAACACGAGCCATTTTGCTGTCCTCAACTACACTACAAAACTCTGCTTGCATTGACTGTCACTGTTTGATCTCGAGCTTGTCAGGTGATGAAAATTCTGCAGCAAATGTAAACATGTCATAATTACAATATAATATAATTAAATATGGGTCCGGTCAAGCAGTAACGGAGGGAAACGGGCAGATTTTTTACATTCAAATAGCTCTTATTAAGAAACTAGAGGGACTATTGAAATAAGTAAAGTATCAGAATGTAGGAAAGAGTTAACACTCCAATAGGGTTAAGTTAAACCTGTGATATTCTTTCAAGTTGTTGACAAAAAAATTTAAAACTCATGTCCGTAACGGAGGGAATAAAATATGCAGCACTTTTTGGGCAATAAATACAAACAGTGATAACTAGTGGTTCTCGCTTACATATCCTTAACAAACTGGTTTGAATATTTGCTTCATATAGTTTTCTACCATATGGTACAAGATTAGGTTGAAAAACCTCTTACTTTTTGAGTAATGTGATTTTTTATTAAGAAAGGTCATGGTAACGGAGGGAAAATTGTGCAAACAAGTAGAAGGTGCATAATTTTGCATAATTTGTCGCTTTTTTCTTTCGAATACTTTAATATTACTTCACAATGAAAGGAAACTATTTCTATAAAATATGTCAGTCCTTCCAAGCAAATTTTTATCATTTTAAATATTTTTTTTTTGAAAAACCATGAAACTTCATCAACAGTTCAAAGATCGAATAACACAAGACATGATGAAAAACATAAATTTATTTACATGATTTGCAGGTCTTTGAAATTTGGGAAATAATTTTTGTTCCATGTTTCATACATGGTCTGTTTAAAACGTATGTAACTTTAGAACCAAAAATGGTACAGAAAAAAGGTAAACAGTTTCATAAACTATAGTACATATGCTATCTGTTGAATACATTTATATATCAGATGCATTAACTTGAATTTTTGGCCCTTGCTGTTTACTTCTGCTTGACCGGGCCCATATAAATACTTGAAAATCAACAAAATACAAGATGCAGACATGTCATTATATGCCAAAAGGTAATACAAAGAAATAGGCCATAACAACTTTTGTGGATCAACTCATAGGGCCAGTTCAAGTGGAGGGGGCAGAGCGGCCGAGGGGCTGGGGGGCCGGTCAAACAGGCGTAGAGAGTCAGAGTCAGCCCGCAAGCCTTAGTTTGATGATCCCTGTAGTACGGCATTAAACCTTTCTATCGTGATGACCAAACCAAGTCAAGTTACAGGTCAGATGTGTGGAGATGCAACCCATTCACAGACACTTTTTTTTTTTTTTTTTTTTTTTTAAGTATTTCTGAGCATTAAAACAGCCTGTAATTGGATAAATGTAAGTGTGGGGAAGCTGGCCAAAGTGGTCAAAAGATGGCGGCAGATGACACAAAAAAGGTGTCTTTATGCAGACAAAATTTATTTTAAAACAGACTTTTGGAGTTCACCAACAAAAGTACAACTAGACAAAAAACAAGTAACTCAAAGCAAAAACACCAAACACCTGCACAGAAGTCTCTCCCTAATTGGTGACACCTGCTCTTTTTTTATACTCCTCCCAGCAGCCTCCCCCCAGGTGAGTATCCAGGTAACTCCCAAAGCAAAGCAAGTCCCCTTTCAAAATAAAAATGTTTAACATAAACTAACATGAATTTAAAATGAGACAAAGGCCTCACTTTGTCAGAGTAAGGTAGAGCTGTTTAATGCTCTGCTTCGATTGTCGTGGAACATTCAAAGCATTCAAAACATATCCATAAGAAACACGAAGATGACGGCCGAAAAGTTACACCGAAAAGTTACACCCTGCACCTCTAAATAAAGCTTCATGTGTACTTTTTAGGCAGCTGTGCACTTTTCATTTTGTCAAAACAAAATATCAGCCTGTGTTGGAGATCGGTCTGTCTCTCATTTTCATGAGTGAGCCCCAGTGTTTTCTGAACAGCAGTGTGTTTTTGTGTTTGTTTGTGTGTTGTCCAGGAGTGGGCAGTAACCTTCAGGACCACTTGGAACTGTACGTGCAGCAGCAGTGCACTCAGCCCATCACTCTGTACAAGGCCCAGAAGCCCTTCCACATGGTCAAGATCGGGCTGGAGTGGCTCACCGTGTTCACAGGTAACAGCCACTTCACACTAACGATGTTTAACAACCAAATTCAGTTCTGCCTCTTTCTTAATTCATGCACAATTGGATTTCTTGTGTGTTTTATGTGATGTCATATGTGTCTGTACTGTGTTCGTGTGTGTTCTGATGTTATGTGTGTGTGTTCTCTGTGTTGTGTTCATGTCTGTGTTCTGGTGTTGTGTGTATCTGTGATCTTGTGGTGTGTTTATGTGTATGATCTTGTGTTATGTTCAGGGTACGGTGCCACAGCTCACCTGGAGAGTGGGGGCTTCATCCGCAGTCGCCCTGGGGTCACTCACCCGGACATCCAGTTCCACTTCCTGCCCTCTCAGGTCATCGACCACGGCCGGGTCGCCTCCAAGATCGAGGCCTACCAGGTGGGCAGCTCATCTGAACTTCTCATTCAGTGTTGCACAAATGCAGAAAAGCCTTTCACACTCAAGCACAATTATGTAGGGTTCTCTGGCCCACACTCCACCCGCACAACTGAACCTCTGTTAGTTTACATGTCGAGTTGTACAACAGTATTTAAAAACAAGCGCACTCAGAGATATCACCCTTGGTTCGGTGGAACATCGGTGGGGTCAGTTCATCACCACAGAAGCAGTTCATGAGGAGCCCAGCCCATATTACATGATTGTTATATCCACAATGTAATGTGTGTATGTGTACAGGCCCATGAACATTTGTGTGATATTGGTCACACATGAGAATGTCTGTGTTTACTAGTGTGTAACCAAAATGTAATTTTTCATGAGTTGTGTATATGTTAGTTGTGTGACTGTAGATCTGTGTGTTGTGTGTCATCAGAAAAAGAAGAAATGGAAATTATTTTTGTTACAATTAGAATTTACACTCAAAGAGAAAGGAACTGTTATAATAAGTGATTATCTAGAAAACTATTAATACTTAACTATACAAATGCACAGAATTATAAATAGATAATAATTTTTCAGAGATTGTGAGACCACTCCCATTGCTCGAGCTCGATCCTTCGCTGAGTTATGACCAAAAATGCATATTTGACCTTGTTTACCTTGACCTTCAAGTGACCTTGACCGGTTTCAACCTGTAACATCCAGTGTACCCCGGTTATGTGTGTGCCAACTTGTGTGATGATCGGGTGAATAGGCCACAGATGGTTGAGAAATTGATGAAATTGCCGATCCTTTATAATGGTGTGACAGTTCAATTGACCCGTGTGACCTCAAATGACCTTGGATCATCACCAAACTTTTTTTGTGACATCGGGCACAGGGGCTTGACCCACCTACCAAATTTGGTGACAATCGGTCAATAAATGGCGGAATTATCACTCGTAGACAGACACACACACACACAGGGTGAATACAAAACCTGGTCAACCCTTCCGGGACCAAGTAATAACAACTAAATAGTGAGGTAGAAGTGTCCTTTTGTGATGCGCGCTCCTCTGTGAGTATATTTATATAATAACAGCACAGAGGAGATGGCAAAAAAGGTAAGCATGGATTTGACGTGTGTTTTGGAGCAGAGTTTATTCACTTTTTTCCTCGTACGCGTAACATCAGCGCATACACCGGGCTCGTATAGTCGTCCAGCTGGGCCAAAGTCCGAAACGTGCCTAGGCACAGTTCCTTTGTGCTCACACCGGACAAATATACTGTGCTTTAGGGGCTATCTATACTTGGGCACTGTTCGTTTAAGCAAGTTTGAGCGCACCCTAAGACGCTCATTACCTCCATAATGATCAGACGCTCGTTGTCTCCCTGGGGTCTCGTCAAGTTTCCATAGTGATAAAGCTCCATGTGTGTAACCTATAGACTGTATATATAGACAGATGATAAATAGACCTTTTTTCACAACAGCCGGAAGTGCTGCGATGTCGGGTAAACGTCACATACGTCAATGCTTTTCTAAGGTAAAATATCTGTGGAAATGTCTCCCGTTTTTGTCACCAGCTTCATAAATCTGCCCCATCACCAAATCTTCAACCAACAAGATCAATAATGAACATATTTTGTTCATGAAGAATTTATCCACAACTATCAAGGTAAGAAAGACGAAAGCTTAAAGGCGAACAACAACGACGCATTAGTGAACTACTGAACAAAACTAACATTATGGTAATAAATAAAACATAAGTAACTTGTTCTCTCATTCTACTGACTGATTCTACAATTAAAATAAAACTAGATTTCATGATGTCGATTATTTGCATAGACAGAGATTTGTGTAGTTTAAATGCGAGACATGTAAGGCAAGGCAAGTAAAGTTTATTTGTACAGCACAGTTCGTACACAAAGTAATTTAAATTGCTTTACAGAATAAGAAATACATTACAATCACAATAAAAACAAATCAAAACATAAATAATCATCATTAAAATTAAAAAAGAGAGAGAGAGAGACAGTAATTACATAAATTAGAGAGAAGAGTGCGGAATTAAATCCTTTCAGTCATAGGCAGCTAAACAGAACCGTTTTGAGTCTGGATTTAAACAGCGTCAAAGAAGAGGCCTGTCTCACAATTTGAGGAAGACTGTTCCAGGTTTTAGCTGCGTGAACTTGAAACTCTGACTCCCCGTGTTTAGTCCTGACTCTGGGCACCAGCAGGAGACTGGTCGCATTCGAACTGCACAAATCTCTCTGTCTTTGCCAATATCTATCATGAAATCGATTTTTAATTTTAACTGTAGAATCAGTCTGAGTTTACAAATTACTCATTAACATATTACTTATTACTTATGTTTTATTCATGATCATAATGTTAGTTTTGCTCAGGAGTAGTTCACTAATGCATCGTTGTTGTTCGCCTTTATGTTTTCATATTTTTTTACCTTGATAGTTGTGGATTAATTCGTCATGTTTATCCTTTGTCGATCTTGTTGGTTAAAGATTTGGTGATGAGGCAGATTTGTGAAGCTGGTGGAAAATACGAAAGACATTTCCACAGATATTTTGCCACAGAAAAGCATTAACGTAAGTGACGTTTACCCTACATCACAGCACTTCTGGTCGTTGTGAAAAAGTTTATAACAAAAATAGGAAACGAGTATGGCTGTGAAGTGGTTCCTTCAAGCTCTGGTTATGTTTGACTTGTCTTGTATTGAAAAACTGTTGCTGTGAGCCTCGTCATTTTGGCCGACATTTGTATTAACCCGCTCTGCACGATCCTGCTGTATTTGTCCTGCTATTTTGTCCAGAAATTAATATATGAACGTTAATATCAGACCAATGAGGCGTTTGATTGACAGCCCCTTTCCCGCTCGTACCACTGGTTTAGCAGGGCCGTGTACCTTCAAGCAGCCTCGCTCCTGACTCTTTCATTTCGCACCCGGATTTCCTAATATGATGCCTGGTTGGCAGATTAGCCTTTATAACGAAGCCTTATTTCCAACTGAACACCCAGGGTGACGTCACACTCCCTTAATCCACTTCTGCTGTAGCGCCTGTAGTCTAACTAAAGCCATTGTGTTTACAAGTCCAACCGGAGAAGTTCCCTGGAAGTGACCTGAGTCATTGGACCGGGACACTTCCAGGTAACTACGTGATCTCCAGTTCCAGCTTAAATTGTCAGCTCCTCTTATCTCGATGGCCTATACATGATACACAATCTTTTATTATTGTGTGTAAACATGCAAAAGCCAAGATCAACAGTCATTCATACACATTTTTATTTGTTATGATTATTACAGATTACATTATTACCTATTTGCTCAGGATTAGTTTTACCTAGGGACGTCTTTAAATTTAAATTACCTCACTGCATCTTGAGTTTTTTGTGTAAATTCACACAGGATAAGACATGACCTGTTTTTATAGACTTTATTCTGGAAATGTTGGACTGATACACTCACCGCAACAAGACAAGACCCTTTTAATGTTGCTTTTATTCTGAGTTTGTTTTAGCAGAATACACCTGCACACCGTGTTTCTTGCGGCACTGATGTAATCCGCCTCAGATTTCTTATGAAACAGTCTCTCTCCGTTCACGTTGATGCAGCCAAGTCCAGTCAAACTTTACAAACTTTGCACCAAAAGCACCCGAACTTCTCCACAGAGGCTCCATGACAATGGGGCTGTACACTCAGGTCATGTCTTTACCGCACTTTGATTTATATTTTTTTACTTTTAAACTGTAGAAAAATACAATAACTGGATCGGAGAATAAATATAGTTGATTTAGTTTGTATTTGGACCTAAAATGAACGTTTTGAATCAATATTAGCTTCAATGCACAGATGAAAAACAGGGCAGTTTACAGACATGATTGTTCACGTGGGACTAGAATCACCTGACGACCTGACCTTTTGCAGAAATATTCAAGGAAATTCTTACCACCCATGAAACTAATCCTGTGCAAACAAGGCTTTATATTTGTTACCAACCTGTAAGTCATTGTTTGCTTTTCAAATGTGACTACAACACTTACTCATTGTTTTTAACCACTCCAGTGCACCGAGATCTCTGATACAGATCTCCTACAATAACTGTAAGAATATGAACTGCGTTTCTGTTTGATTGTGTGTATATGTGATTTTATCACTCATAGAAACCGATAAACAAATCAAACTTTATTTATAAAGCGCTTTTCATACAAAATGTAACACAAAGGGCTTTACAGTGATTAAAAACAATCCCACATTTCCATCCACCCACTCACTTAACTAACCCCCACACCCCCAACCCCACACAACCAAACAACCCAGACACACACACACTCACACACACACTAACATGCTAAAATACATAAGACCGCACATAGTAAAATATGAGGCTGAATACAGGCGAACCAGTTGAGAAAGCACCATCAGAGGAGCCGTCTACCCCAGGAGCAGAAAAGAGCCGTCCGCCACCACCAGGAACCGCCACAGGGCCCAGGGGAGAGATGAAGCCCGGGCACCTGAGGCCCGAGCGCCAACCCTCCAACCAGGAGGCTGTCCCAGCAGTCACAGCCGACCTCCGCTCCTGATGCAGAGGGCTCCTATAGATAACGATTCGTTTTTTCAGTTTTTCGATTTTGTGTTTAAATGAAGAATGGAAAAAACAGATAACGGCTTCCCGTTTACGTGACTTCCGTGACTGCGATGCCAGACTTTTGCACCGCGTACGAACTGAACCAGGACTGATCCAGGTCCGAGACCAGACCGGGACAGACTGGGACCATTTTTTTCCATTCTTCATTTAAACACAAAATTGAAAATTATCCATTTTTTTATTTTGGTTTTGGAGACAAATAACGAAGAAAACTGTTGTTTTTTCGTTTTCTTATTTTTGGTTTTATATTGAAAAACGAATGAACGAATGATACACGGATTAGAAAGGCACATTGGATTTGCTTTTTTGGTTCATTCCTCTGTTCCATTCCTCGTCGGTGTGGGGTGATGAGTGTGTCTGTGGGTGTGTTTCACTGCGCGGTCGCTGTCTGCTCCGTGTGTGTTTGCGTGTGCTGCGGGTGGTGCGGCTTTGTAGTTTACTGAAGTCGTGCTGGGACACCCGAGTGGATTCGTGTGGAGGGCGTTCTGGCTTGCGGGGCGTGCGGTCATTTTTTGATGGGGTTAGAGGCTTAAGAGCGCGTCTAGTAGCCCGGAAAATATGGTATAAGATTTCATTCAAAAGCTAAACTAAAAAGGTGGGTCTTGAGCCTACTGGAAAGATGCCTCTCCATGAGTGTGTGTCCTGACTTTGGGAATGACCAGGAGCCTGCTGCCGGAGGAGTACAGGGTCCGTGAGGGTTCGTAGGGTAAAAGCAGTTCTGAAAGATAAGAAGGCCCAAGACCATTAACACATTTAAAATGAGCTACTGTGAAGAGGGACTTAAAACATAAAGTGTACCAAGTTTCACAGTGTCAGTGACAAGAGCTCAAAAAGGCACTGTACTCCTGAAACAAGTTACTTCATCACTTTACTTTACGCAAAGTGTGAAACTGAGAAAAATTACTTCAAAGTTAGTTTTGTCCAGACAAAAGTATAATATGTAGAGCTCGTTATAATGAATATAATGCATGTGAAAAATATTGAGCTCAAAATTGACTGTTGACCCTTATTTGTCACTTCCTATACCAAAAATAACCAAAAATAAGGAGTCATGCAAAGGCCAAAGTCAGTAACTGATTATTACTCATTATTTGCTTGATTTCCTGTTTAGTGCTGATCAGGACACTTGCACAGTTAAACAGTTTGACAGACAAGTGACGTTGCAGTATAGTGTGTACACTAGTATGAATAAATACACAATATTCTTTCACATTAAAGATACTTTAAGTATAATTGAATATAAAGGTTTATTAATTTGATGTGTTAAGACCCTGAGCCAAGGTTGCAACAAAAAAAAAAGGAGGTGAGAGGTTGGATTTTAAAACAAGCAAAATCAGAGATATCAACCTGGTCCCCATGAGGCATCGGTGGGGTCAGTTCATCATTACGGAAGCAGTTTATGAGGAGCCCAGCCCTTAGAAAAAGAAGAAATGGAAATTATTTTCGTTACAATTACAATTTTAACGGCATACACTGAAAGGGAAATTAACTGTTATAATTAGTGATGATCTGGATGATCTTTTAATTCATTAAAAGCTGTTTAGTTGTTATGTAACTTTTTATGGATCTTGTAAATAACACAATAGGATCAGTTTTGTAATAACTTAATGATGCTTTGATCGATATCAAATCTGAAAAAGTTAGAGACCAGTACAAAGTTTTGCTGTAACAATAAAGCTGACAACAACTAGTTTGCTAACACACACTTCCTGATTATCAGACAATAAAACACTTCATAATCAGATGAAGACAGACTTATTTTGACCTCAAGAGCTGCTTTTACAACACATCTGTACTGGGGCAACATCATAGACTGTATAAAGAAGTGGAATAAGGGAGTGTGAGGTCACCCACAGCGTTCAGCTCCAGTCAAAGGAAGCTCATGGAGGCTGCGTTACAGGAGTAAATCTGGAATAAAATCGAGTTCCATATTAGGAATAGGACAAAATGATGAAATAAAAACACCAGGATCATGTAGAGTGGGTTAATATGAACATTTTAAGACCAAATGACGAGGCTCACAGTAGGAGTTACAGCAGTTAATGTAAAGTCAATTGGAGCCAGAGTTGATGGAACTGGAAGAGTTTTCGTCCGCACTTCCTCTTTGCAATGTCCAACAGTCTATGGATAAGACAGAGAGATTTTTGCTCAAATACATGAAATAATAAATAGTGTAAAGGGCATTTAAATTTACTTCTTACCTTTCATTAGATTCACAGCGTGTGCTTCTGTCACAGGTTCACGTCGGGCCCATGAGGAGCTCCAGTGTGGGCTGGCTCAAACTGAAGAGCCCCAACCCTATGGATCACCCCATCCTCCAGCCCAACTACCTCTCCACAGGTAAGACCACGAACTACCTCTCCACAGATAACATATGATGGTAAAATGTTCCTTGTGTGAAGCCGGCTCCAAATATCCCAAAAATCTGATCTCTCAGTCACTGATCTTTAATGGACTCTTAAGTCAGTTTAAAAACCTTTCATTCTCTGATTTAAGACTGAATTTGCCAAAGTGCTGCCTGTAGCCTGCCTCTATTTCAGGGAGAGCTCCTTTGTGTTTTTAAATTTCTCACATTTTCACTGGTCTCATTACAACAAACCGTCCACCTGTTAGTATCATGTGGTTATTGCTGTGCTTGTTGCTTTTTCCATTTACAATGGACATAAAAAGTCTACACACCCCTGTTCAAATGCCAGGTTTTTGTCATGTAAAATAATGACAGCAAAACAAATGATTGACAACTTTTTCCACCTTTAATGTGACCTATAACCTGTACAATGCAATTGAAAAACAAACTGAAAACTTTAAAGGGGAAAAATATAAAATAAAAAACTTAAAATAACCTGGTGGCATAAATATGCACACCTTTAAACTAATACTTTGTTGCAGCACCTTTGGCTTTTATTACAGCACTCGGTCTTTTTGGGTAGGAGCCTATCAGGGTGGCACATCTTGATGTGGCAATATTTGCCCACTCTTCTTTGCAAAACCGCTCCAAATCGGACAGATTGCGAGGGCATCTCCTGTGCACAGCCCTCTTCGGATCACCCCACAGGTGTTTGATGGGATTCAGGTCTGGACTCGGGCTGGGCCATTCCAAAACCTCAATCTTATTCCGGTGAAGCAATTCTTTTGTTGATTTAGATGAGTGCTTTGGGTAATTGTCATACTGAAAGATGAAGTTCCTCTTCATCTTTCAGCTTTCTAACAGAAGGCCGAAGGTTTTGTGCCAACACTGACTGATATTTGGAACTGTTAATAATACCCTCCACCCTGACTAAGGCCCAGTTCCAGTTGAAGAAAAACAGCCCCAAAGCATGATGCTGCCATCACCATGCTTCACTGTAAGTGTGGTGTTATTTTGGTGATGAGCAGTGTTGTTTTTGCGCCAAATATACCTTTTGGAATTATATTATATTATAAATATATTATATTATTATAGTTCAACCTTGGTTTCATCAGACCATAACACATTTTCCCACATGTGTTTGGGAGAGTTCAGATGTCTTTTTGCAAAATTAAGCTGGGCTTGGATGTTTTTCTTTGTAAGATAAAGCTTCCGTCTTATGGACATATGAAGAAGACGGGAAATTGTTGTCACATGAACTACACAGCCAGTACTTGCCAGAAATTCCTGCAGCTCCTTCAGTGTTGCTGTTGACCTCTTGACAGCCTCCCTGACTAGTTTTCTTCTTGTCTTATCATCAGCTTTGGATGGACGTCCTGTTCTTGGTAATGTGCCATAGTTTCTCCACTTGATGATGACGGTCTTCACCGTGTTCCATGGTATATTTAATTCCTTGGAAATTCATTTGTAGCCTTCACCTGACCTGATACATGGTATCTTTGAATAATGAGATTACTCTGATGCATTGGAAGCTCTCTGCGGACCATGGCTTGTGCTGGAAGATGTGGCTACAAAAAATGTCAGGAAAAGCCGACTAGAACAGCTCACCTTTATTTGGGGTTGATCAGAGGAATTTTAATAGGTGACAGGTGTGTGCTGGCTTCAGTTTAACATGAGTTTGAATGTCATCAATTAAATCTGAACACAGCCACATCACCAGATATAAAAGGGTGTGCACACTTATGCAACCACATTATCTCAGGTGTTTATTTTTATTTCACCCACCTGAAATATTTCAGTTTGTTTTTCAATTGCGTTATATGGGTTATGAAAGGTGGAAAAATTTGTGAAATTATTTATCTTGATGTATTTTTTTTACATGACAAAAACCTGGCATTTGAATAGGGGTGTGTAGACTTTTTATATCCACTGTACTCTCTCCTGATTGGCTGTTGTTATAATCCCTGACTCCTGATTGGCTATCGTTCTAATCCCTGACTCCTGATTGGCTGTTGTTATAATCCCTGACTCCTGATTGGCTGTCGTTCTAATCCCTGACTCCTGATTGGCTGTCGTTATAATCCCTGACTCCTGATTGGCTGTCGTTATAATCCCTGACTCCTGATTGGCTGTCGTTATAATCCCTGACTCCTGATTGGCTGTCGTTATAATCCCTGACTCCTGATTGGCTGTCGTTCTGACTCCTGATTGGCTGTCGTTATAATCCCTGACTCCTGATTGGCTGTCGTTATAATCCCTGACTCCTGATTGGCTGTCGTTATAATCCCTGACTCCTGATTGGCTGTCGTTCTAATCCCTGACTCCTGATTGGCTGTCGTTATAACCCCCGACTCCTGATTGGCTGTTTTTTTAATCCCTGACTCCTGATTGGCTGTCATAATAATCCTTGACTCCTGATTGGCTGTTTTTTTAATCCCTGACTCCTGATTGGCTTTCGTTATAATCCCTGACTCCTGATTGGCTGTCGTTATAATCCCTGACTCCTAATTGGCTGTTTTTTTAATCCCTGACTCCTGATTGGCTTTCGTTATAATCCCTGACTCCTGATTGGCTGTCGTTATAATCCCTGACTCCTGATTGGCTGTGTGTTGCAGACATGGATGTGTGGGAGTTCCGGGAGTCGGTGAAACTGTCCCGTGAGATCTTCGCTCAGAAAGCGTTTGACCCGTTCAGAGGCCCCGAGGTGCAGCCTGGGCCCGGCGTCCAATCAGACGCAGAGATCGACGCCTTCGTACGCCGCAAGGCCGACAGCGCCTACCACCCATCCTGCACCTGTAAAATGGGCTCCCCCTCGGACCCCATGGCGGTGGTGGACCCCAGCGCCCGCGTCCTGGGGCTGGACGGGCTCCGCGTGGTGGACGCCTCCATCATGCCCAGTATGGTGAGCGGAAACCTCAACGCTCCCACCATCATGATCGCGGAGAAGGCGGCGGACATCATCAGAGGGCGCCCCCCGCTGGTGGACCGCGGGGTGCCAGTGTACCAGCCGCCCACGCTCCAGACGCAGAGATAAAAAAACACAAGAACCTCAAGTGCGATGTGCAATGTGAGCCACGGCAGATGACCAGACTTCAGACCATTTTAGTTTGACTCATTTGGGCTTTTATTTTATTTTTTTTCTAGGTTTTCAAAGTTTTCAGACGACATTAGAACATTCTATCGTTCGATATATTATTTAAAGGGTTCTGATCAGTGTTATATTGTTGTTTCCTCATCACAAACAGACCTGGAGTTGTGTTTTGTTTCATACAGGTTATACTGGAAATGCTCCACTGTGTTTTTAAACTCTATACACCTTCACTAAAATCATTTGGATCATTTCAAACCAGGAATTTTACTTTTTGTTTGATCTGAGCTGAACAAAAGAATAGAATCGAATAGAAAGCCTTTATCATCATTATACAGTATAATGAGATTCAAAGCTGCTCAGTCTAAGTGCAGGAAAAAAACAAACAAATTAACAGTTAAAGTATAAAGATGAGTTCAGTAGTAAAAGGTAAAAGAAGCTGTTAACTTGAAAACTACCACTAATGACATCACAAGGTGGAACAGGGCATTTTGAGATTTGGAGATGGACAGACCAATGATCAATCCAATCCAATCCACTTTATTTCTATAGCACATTTCACAGACAAACCAACAAACAAATACATAAAATTAACAACAATAATAAGCTGATAAAATAAACTACTAAAATAATACTAGTCTTAAAATAATAAAACCAGTAAAATAAAATAAAAACAAAATCATAGAATAGAAATAAATTAATTAAATCAGTAAAACCAATAAAAACACATAAAAATAAATAAAAGACACAGAGGACCACACAAATCACGCGGTGTTAAAAGCCAGAGAATAAAAGTGGGTCTTCAGACGAGACTTAAAACACTCCACTGTGGGTGTTGCTCGAACGTGAAGCGGCAGATCCTTCCAGAGTTTAGGGCCGACCACAGAGAAAGCCCTGTCCCCCCTGGTTTTAAGTCTCGTCTTAGGCACCACGAGCTGGAGCTGGACCTCAGACCTCAGAGCGCGCGCGGGGGTATAAATTTGGATGAGGTCCGACACGTACTGTGGGGCCAGTCCATTCAAAGCTTTAAAAACAAACAATAAAAGCTTAAAATCAATTCTAAAATTAACAGGAAGCCAGTGCAAAGATACAAGGATTGGGGTTATGTGCTCTCTCCTTTTTGTTCCTGTTAAAATCACACGTTTGAGTAATCCTGTTGCAGTAATGTCACACATGTTTGAGAAACGTCACTCAAACATCACACATAAGTGATCCTGAGTAATACATCTGTGTACAGAGTTACTGAAACGTGAAGGAGACAAAACACAGCTCCAGGTTTGTTTTTGTGAAGGTAACGGCATTATAAAGCTCACAAGAATCAGTTTTGTGTAATACAGAATGCTGAAACCGGTCAGTCTGAAATATATTGAAACACGCAAACCCAAACTAGTCAAATCAGATTTAATATTCTGAAGTCTAGCCCTTAAAACTTTTGCAGTGTATTTTTATTCACACAGAAATGATTCGTCAACAGTGATTTGCACGACTATGAGAATCAACCAGAATGTGACACTAGACTGAATATTATGATGTAAGTTTGTATTTACAGCAGCTTTTAACCACCTTTAATATATTTGAGAGCATGTTTGATCAAAGAGTGATTTCTTACAGTGTAGTACATTTTATATAAATATAGATGTAGATGTAGTGGTGTTTGTGACTTAACAGCACTGCAGAGTATATGTGTTTTGTGCCTTAAGATGACACTTATAATAATGAAATACTATGAAGGGCTTGAAGAAGGCATATTGTGCAAAATCAACTTTTAAGAGCTTTTATTTTTGAAACTAGTGCACAGGCTGTAGAAGACTTTCCGAGTGTAGCCCGCGATAACTTCAGAAGTCGTCGCGGGCTGCACTTCCCCGTGGTGTCCGTTAAATATATCACTCATTTCACTAGCTAGGACCACGCCAACAACGACATAGTGCGAAGAAGTTTATTGATAATGTACGAAGAGGGGCAGAGATGGCTGGGTTGAGACTATGGGTGGGGGCTCCGTCTCAATCTGCAATTGGCCCAGCCGGAACGGGACCCCCCTTGCAGGTGTTTTATGACTTAAAGACAAAATAGGGGATGGGAGGGTGGGGTCGAGTTAGCCGAGACAAACTGGGATGATGGGAAAGGCTGCTACTTATAGGCTTCTGGGAAATTAGAGGCGTGGTGGAGGTGAGTTGTGGTTCGCTGGTGAGAGGAGAGGGCGGCTGAGGCGTGGTCCTGCTCCTGAATCTCAGTTAATCATATTAACTACATTTTAAAAGATCTTTGGCTTTTTTTTTTTTTTTTGACTGATTCATTGGCCGGTTTTACTTCATAGAAAGAGTCTGACCTCACAGCATTAGGATTCGTTCGCTCAATGGTAGGCGGGTATTTTTTTTATTTAAACAATCGCTGCTATTTGGACATATGTAATGCGCCAAATCGCGTAGGAAGAAGGGCAATAACGTCTTTCCCCTTGATAAAATTCAAACCAAACATTCTCTTTGTTCCGGCTTTAAATCCTCGATCTCAGGAATCGTTGCCAACACAGAATGTTTGTCTTCGTCTACATCCATCTCGACGCTTTGTTTACTGTTGTGCTGTTCCACAAAATGGACCCAGACAGGCGCTTGAGCTTGACGTCATGGCTTCACAGCTCTTCGCTGATTGACTACAACTTCCGGGGTTCTTACAAACCGTCTATTCCGATTCCTGACCTAGTCGCTGCAGAGAAATGAAATTGAGTGGAGGCACTAGGTGGCACCAGCCTGACTAGCATTTTTGGCCCTAACAACATGAAACATGGCAGTGCACACACCCGTACCATTAGGATGACACACTCCAAACTTGAGATGAGCGGTACAGACCAAACTCTTAATAACCTAAAATATCGGAAGACCCAATGAATCTCTTTGGACTAGCTGCACATACCTCACTGGGCACGGACTTGTTTCTTTTATTACGTTGTTTTCATTTCAATATTGCGATTGAAAATGTCCAAATGATGAACATAATAATCCACAAGTGTCATAGATTATAACTATAGAGCGAAACAAAAGCACAATATGTCTTCTTTAAATCTGTACCAGCACAGTTTAATTATCTCAGTCTTACCTGGAAGTGACCTTTATGGCTTCGTTCAGACTGTAGGACTTAATGCTCAATTCAGATTTTTTTGTGAAATCCGATTTTCTTTGGCGAGGTCATTCACATTTCCAATTAAATGCGACTTGTATGTGATCTCCAGTGTGAACTCTGAACGCCCCAAAAGTGTCCCGCATGTGCACTGGAGGACACAGCGAGCGTGCTCAGTGTTTACGGAAGTTGCCAAAAATCTGGTCCAGTTCTTGGTAAAATGTTCAGGTTCAGGATCTTTGTTTTTCGTTGACATTGGAGCCAGGACCGACCATTTCTTTGGCAATCATTAAAAAAAATTCCCTCCAATTTGGCCTGAATACAGCGATCCCCCCAAATATTGATGAACTCGCCAACCTCACTTTCCCTCCATTGGCGAGACTCTGATCCTGATGTGTAGGTGGGATGAATGCGACCTTATCATTCAGACATAAGTCGCATGTCAAAAGATCGGATATGTATGGGTTTTAGGAGCAAATATCCAAGTGGCCTGGGTCGTGTTTGAAAAAATCGGATCTGTGTTGCTCAGACTGGCATTAAAAGATCAGATACAGGAGCATACGGGAGAAAAAAATCTGATTTGGGTCACTTCAGGCTGCAATCTGAATGGAGCTTATGTTTTACCTTTGATTTAATTTCTTTTTTACAAATATTGAATCCCAAAATGTGCATTGGAACATATAATTTTTCCTCCTTATAACTGTGGTGCAATTTTAAACAATATTTGAATCATTTCGTGTCTTCTGCTTGTTTAGGGAGCCAGTTTTTCGTTGTGTGTGTTGGTACATTTTGGGATATTGTTGTCTCGGTACGAAGGGATAGACTTGATACTCAATTCTGATTCTTTAGACAATAGAATGTGATTCTCAGATAGACAGATTGTGATTTTGTTGTCTTACGTCTGGTTCATTTCTGTCCTGTCAATGTGAATTATTTAGCATTGATTAGGGATGGGATGAGACACAGTTTCCGCAAGACAAAACACGAGATTGGGTCCACGAGAACGAGACAAGACGAGATTTTGACATAAATTCTAAGACGTAAATAGTCTGATTTAGTTCCCAAAGTTGGCTTCAGAATTTGTATTTACTTTATTTAATATTTTTGTTGGAACTATGGCTTCTCAAAAGATGCAAGCACCAGCATTTAACTTTTTTTGTCCAGTCCAATAAAACTCACGAGATTATTTTTCTCATGTGCACAATCTCGTGGTGTTTTTGTCTCGCGAGATCTTGTCCCATCCCTCATATCAATTAGCGTCTGATTTTCGATACTTGTGACAACCTCTACCGCAGAATTTATTTTATTTTATCCATGTTTTATGAAGAATTTTAGCTTTTAATCACTTGACTCATTTGTGCAATAATCACAAACACTTTACTTGCTGGTCCATTATTTCAGATACAAAACACTATCATCCTTCACCTTGTAACATGAACAATCATTTTTCCTAATCATGTTTTTGAGAGATGAAGGTCTGGTCTTAAGTGTTATTTTATATTTTTAATACATTCTCTGTTTTGTAATTTCAACAGAACACTTGAAACCTGGTGCAGTTTACAAAATATACAATATCCGGTACTATAAGTGAACTATTTTACATTTTGTTTACTTTGTGATGTTCTGAGCTGCCTTTAAAGGGCCCGTAGTACGATATTTAAAATTTTTTGTTGTGTTTTTGATGAAGAATTAACATTATAATATGACTCACAAGAGTAAATTTTGTGTATTATAATATATATTTTTGGGCCCTTAAATCGTGTCTTAATCGTTTTTGCACAGCTACTTTCAGTGTTTACGTGAAATTTATGAAGGATAATACTTTTTGATTTTGACTTAAGAAATTATTTTTTAAAATGTAAGCACCTTTAGTTTAGTTTAATTTGACTGTGATCAGTAGAAAGCGTCCATGTCTTACCGGGAATGTTTCTTTGTTCAGAATTTGTACTCAATCTTTTATGAAATCTTAGAAGGACTTGATAAACCCGATGGACCTATTTTCACACGATCATGAGCATCAAAATGTTTTGAATCAAACTTGAAAATGGAAAGAAATTGAATAAAAATGTCAGATGCCCATACGTGAGTTTTGTGTCATTTTTGGATATGAATAAACATTTAAATGGGTTGATTTTTTATTTTTTTTTCCCAAATATTTTTAATACATTTTCAGACAAAAATGTTTACATGAACAACTGACCATATTAACATAGGTCAACATATAACCAAAAAAAAAAAAAAAACAGGCCAGTTCACACCCTCACACACACACACACATTCACATATTGACGAACAATGATTGCACAATACCATTTATCAGTCGCAGGTTAGTCAAAAATCCATATTCAGTGAAGATATAAATTTTAAAAAAGGGAAAATGGGTAAAAGAAAAAAAAAAAATGTTATTGTTATTATCATCTTCACTAATAATAACAACAATATACATACACATCATTCCTATTTTTTAGATACGATATTCAAATAAGGTTCCCACAATTTCACAAAGTCTTTTAAGTTTTCCCTTTGTTATAAATGATGGCTCTTCTGGCATGTAATAATCCAAAGTCCAGTAATTTTGCTTGTTTTTTGTCTGTAATAAACCTTCTGGATATACTCCCAATATGCACAGTTTTGCACACATGGGAATCTTTACATTAAATATTTGTGTCAAACATTTTATAATCTCTTTCCAAAATATTTGGATTGGCGAGCATTCCCAAAGACAGTGTTCCTTTATAACAGGGGTGTCAAACTCATTTTGGTCCGGGGGCCGTATCCAACCGATTTTGATCCCAAAGGGGCCGGATCAGAAAACTCATGTCACATAAACCCCAAAAATAACAATAAGTTCAAATATTTGTGCAGAGAAACACAAATCTATTACAAAAACTTTTTAAATTGATGAACTCTTTCTTTTACAAAATATTATAATATTATGAACAACCTGAAACTTTAAGAAAAATACAATTTCCACACAATGTTTTAACATGAAGTTGGTTAACATTAACTTGTATAAATAGGAATAAGTAAATTTTTCTTGGAAAATCCTGCACTCGGTTCCACTTTTCTCATTTTTGACATTTTGCTGATGAGGGTGTCACGGTCAACAGTCAAAACAATCGTTCTTTTAAGAGCGTCTGGAAAGAGGCAAGTCTTCATTTGTGCTGCTCTGGTGGGAGGGGTCATGTACAGAGACACTGGAGACGCTGCTGTGATAAACACCACAGAAAATTAACAATATTTTAATAAAAAATAGAATTAAAATATTTTAGTAGAAAATCAGCTGAGGGCCAGATTAAAGGTTTTGGAAGGCCAGATCTGGCCCCCAAGCCGCATGTTTGACACCTGTGCTTTATAATTTCTACATTTAGTACAAGTGTTAAGAATATTACTGGAGATATGGTGGAGGATTTCAGGAATTATATAAACCCTTGTTAACCATTTATATTGAAGTAGTCTGAATCTTGTATAATTGTTTTGTATCAAGTGGGTTGATTAATGGAAATGGAAAGTCAAAAATACATAAAAGTATTCAAGTATAAAATAAACCTTTCAGTGAGTATTTAACTGTGTAGCCTTGAGCTCTTACTGTTGCAAAAATGTTACAGCTGAGCCCGTGTTTCCAGAGCTTTAAAGGTGCATTGTGTAACTTGAACGCCCCCTCACCACAGACCAGAACTGGGACCAAGTCGATGTTTTGCAAGTCTACAGTAAGTCTCAAGTCTTTCACCTCAAGTCCAAGTCGAGTCCTCTAAACCGGGACTAAACCAGGTCAAAACCGGGTCTAAACCAGGTCTAAACCAGGACTAAACCAGGACTAAAACCAGGACTAAACCAGGACCAAACCAGGTCTAAACCAGGTCTAAACCGGGTCTAAACCAGGACTAAACCGGGACTAAACTGGGACTAAACCGGGACTAAACCAGGACCAAACTAGGTCTAAACCAGGACTTAACTGGGTCTAAACCGGGACTAAACCGGGACTAAACCGGGTCTAAACCAGGACTAAACCGGGACTAAACCAGGTCTAAACCAGGTCTAAACCAGGTCTAAACCGGGTCTAAACCGGGACTAAACCGGGACTAAACCGGGTCTAAACCAGGACTCAACCAGGTCTAAACCAGAACTAAACTGGGTCTAAACCGAGTCTCGAGTCACTGGCCCATAAGTCCAAGTCAAGTCCAAGTCGTCTGCTTTGAGCTCATTTCATTTTGAAGTCATTTCAGTCTTTAAACCAAAGCACCAAATATAACTTAGATTTTTGCAATTTATATGATTTTTAAGCTCAAAAATCATCTTAAAAAGTTCTTAAAAAGTCATGGTAAATCATATTTATATAAGAATTTTTTTCCTTTTTAAATATTTTGATCTTAGTGTGATTCATTACGGTCAGAACAGAAAGAATTAAGATTTAAAAGAGCTAAATAACAGTTATTTTGTCATGAAGGATCATGTTCTACGTAGTTCCCTCTGTTTTACTCTATTGTACTGTATTGTACTGTACTGTACTGTACTGAGTATTACTGTACTGTATTCTATTGTACTGTATTGTACTGTAGTACATATGAGGATACATCACAGTACTTCAGTTACATCCAAAGTAACAGAGAAGTGTGACATGTTAGTTTGTTCCTAAAATTAAACGCCGCATTTATCAACTGAAAAGAGAAAAGTATTTTCAAAAAACATATTTTTTAGGAAAAGCGTCAAGTCTTCTCAAGTCACAGGCCTCAAGTCCGAGTCAAGTAACACATCACTGACCTTCAAGTCCAAGTCGAGTCCCAAGTCTTAGTACATTTTATCAAGTCACGTCTCAAGTCCTAAAAATAGTGACTCAAGTCCAAATCACAACAATTTACACGTAAATTCTGTGATCGTTGACACACATTGACTCACGTTGACACACGTTAATCCTAAATTACTCATAAGTCCAGATAGGTTGAGATCATGTCTGGTGTACCCATAATTTATGAGTAACGAGCTTTGAACCTATGTGTAACTTATATGGAACGAACCTCCAACGCAGATTGACACATTTGACATGTTTCGACAACCACAGAACTTACTGAACATGCTTCTAACTTATAGCTCCTGTATAATGGCGTTTTGACAGCGTGTAGGGAAACTGGTTTATAAAAATGGGGAAACCGTCAGTACTCCTCCAGACTTCATGGTGAGCGGATGTCCATATCAGTCGAGAGATGGAGGATCCAGAAAGGCTGAACGATTTAAACTCACAAAGACAACATACACAGCTGCAAATATCACAGGACTCCCTACACACGACTTCACAGATCTTAATGACAGGGCCATTGGACATGAACTTCTTGGGTTCTTTTTAAAGACAATACAGTCAAGTGTGTTTACCTTGTTAACGTTTTTTGGCTGCTCGCTGCAAGTCATCTTCAGAACTGTCACCGGTGTTGGTGGTGACGTGTTGTGCATCAGCTGTTGTTAGTGCCTGATGGACCTGCAGGTTGCTCAGACTGACCACGCCTCCCGTCGCTCGGTGTTCTCTGGAGGAGGGTGTCCCAGGTGTGTGAAAGGAGGAATGCTCCTGATTTCAATGGCCTCACTGATCCAGCGTTTGAACTTGTTGCTTCGGGTCATTGGATCAGAAAACAACAAGTTCAAACACTGGATTAACGGAGATGATGGAGCGTTCCTCCTTTCACACACCTGGGAAACCCTCCTCCAGAGAACACCGGGCGACAGGAGGCGTGGTCAGTCTGAGCGACCTGCAGGTCCAAGAGGCTGACCCCACTTACAGGAAGCAACAACAGCTGATATACGACACGTCACCACCAACATCGGTGACAGTTCTGAAGATGCAGCAGCAGCCGAAACATGTCAACAAGGTAAACACACTTTACTGTATTATCTTTAAAAAGAACCCAAGAAGTTAAAGTATATAAGAAGACAAAATTAACATCTTTGGCCATTGGATATGTTGCTCTCTCCATAGAACAAGACCCCACTCCCCACCTCACCCTCACCCCTCTGCCCCCAGGATGGAGGTACAGGGCGCTCAGGTGCAGGGGGGCCCACTTTGACAGAAGCCTGATCCCCTCGGCCACATAATGTTTTTTGGTGGAAGTTTCTATTCGTTTTGGTCTTTCGTCCACACAGAGCCGGTGTTTTGGGGGGTAGTGAAAACAGTGTTTTTTGAGAACAGGTTTCAGAGTGGAGAAATCTGAGAATGCTGGCATTGTATTGTCATGTGGACAAACAAACTGCAGCTTTTGGAAAACGATGATGGACCGCAAGAGCGTTGCTGAAATGTGACAGGTGTGGCCTACGGAGCCGCTCCTGTCGCCCAGCAACCGAGATACGCTGCTAACGCTAATACTAACAACTTGCACCGCAGATTACACACACGGATCAATAACAAAGATTACGCACAAGTAATTAAACTGTTGGAGTTTGAGACCAAGTCATTCTAATAATTCTCATCCAAATCTCATGGCTAAAAACGAAAACTTATATTTAACTTTTGCAAAACAAAACGTCCATATTTGTGGGATAAATCTAAAATAGACAAAATTACCTTAAAGAAAAAACAGTGATGACATATACATTATTAAATATTATTATCATTGTTAACAGCGCCACATACAGGTGTGGCAGATGTATTACAGCGTTTTCACTCAGTGCTCTGTTATTGTCTGGACATGAATATTAATACCAACCCAAACCGTGTCCCAGTTTTTTATTTTGAAAATCTGGTCACCCTTTACTCCTTATTTATGAAAAGTTTGATAGAAATATAGTGTTTATTCAAGTTAATAGGGATGTAACGATATCCAAATTTCACGATACGATATCATCACGATATGCATGTCACGATACGATATTTTGAAGAAGTTGATATAATTTTAGACGAGACACTTTTTTACTTTTAAATTATCTTGAGGAGATTTTGGTGTGAATTATTTTCATCATAATCCCAAGAATTCAAATAAAAAACATATTTCTTCATCATGTCTGTGCTGAAAGGAATCATGGGATATAGTTTCTGATGTTTATAAGCCATTTCTACGGAAGCCGAGAGGGGTCACAACAAATGCAAACGC